ACCTTTAACAAGGTGAAGTATTTGGCAATGATGCAGTTGATCGCTTATTGCCTCTTATTACTCCCGAATTCCACTTATGCTTGAATGAACTGCCTCAACAATTAACCACCTCTTGAGTTTAATAATCACACACATCGACTGCGCTAAGCCAACTTCAACGTTGGTCCATGTTCCACAGTCGTTCCACCTATGTTGAAGAAGTCCGAGCATAAAATGCGAATTTTTACAGATGATGACGAGAGCAGGTCCGATTGGCATAGACACTGACATTGAAGGCGTCCGCTGCGTAAGTTTCTGAGGCAATTTCTTTTGCTAATTTCTCAAAGTACCATTTCTCCATTTCGTCATAGGCTTCTGGTTGGTAGTCCGAGTAAAATTTGTTGGCGAAGAGGTGTGGTGCCCTACGTAGTTGCGGTATGTGGGCTGTGCCAAGAATACAAACAGAGCGGGTATACAATGTAGGACAGTGCATTTTGTAATCACTCCAAATGACAAACTTCGCGAGAAAGCCAAGATTTACTTCAGACCTGGGCGGTGGAGCCGTAAGACAGGCGCCCGGTAGCTTCAGATGAGGATTATAGGCGAGAGTGGCGAAGAACAACTCATCAGGATGTTGAAACATCGCGTGCCGAAGGAGTAGAGTGCGAATTGGCTCCATAGCCGTTCCTATAAGTGCCTCATGCACAAATTCTCGTCTAAATGCCCCATAGACGGTGCCTTTATACCAAGTTGCCTAGAAAAGGTGGAGAGGAAGCAGTAGTAATAATAATTCCACTTTGTTAAAGTACAGCTCTTGCAATATCTTGATGCGAATCTCTAATTCAGTTTTACTAGTAAAAAAAATAAATTTATCTCTGCTGCTCTGCGCCAGTTGACATCGAATTTTCAAAGTGATGCCGCCATTTTTGTAATGAGGGCAGAACCATACGAATATGTATGAAACTCCTGCTTCAATGCATCTGCGTATGAACCGTTCAGCACCTTCAAAGCACGCCGATAATAGCGTACTACTAATTAATTGCAAGTACGCCTATTTTGCAGATTTTTGTGCAGTCTAAAGCTTCCGATGATAGAAGGTGAATGGAAAGAGGAGCATAGTAGTGGTATGTTGCAGCAATGTAATAAGGTGTCACAGCATGTGCTGTTATTGCTTCACTGGTAGCTATGATAGTCCTTTTTTCGAGTGTTTTGATCCTAGCAGCTTCAATCTCACTTCAGAGACTGGATGATGAATTTGACTCAGCATGAAGGTTTCTCTTGCATAGGTAGAAAAGCACACTGCTCCATACCATAAATAAACTAGTGATTCAAACTATGAGATTAGGTAGGGTCAACAACAAAAACTAACT